TTCTAAAGAATTCTTTTTTTAAAAAGTATTTGATTTAGTGTTAGAAAGCTTAGGTTCAGACCTACACTTGACTTCTGACCTTGAACAAAGTACCTAACCCCTCTGAGTCTCAGGCTTCTTACCTACCTACTGGCTTCATGTTTCCTTACGGAGACACTTCTGGTAAAATAACACTTCAGTCTGTTCCACATCTGATTGCTGAATTTGGAAAAAGAGAAAAAACAAACAAACTATGCAAGCTTAGGACAGACATTTCTGGGCACTCTTCCCTATGGGCCTTCCTACAGGGGAGCTGCATTCTGGTCTGGTTTATACCATGTATATACTAGGGCAGGCTGCGCTCCTACAAAGGGAAAGCCTAAATTTTGGAGAAAAGTTCAATTAGAAACTCCATTTGACCACATAGCCAAGCCACATTCTCCAGGTTAGCATCAATTTTAATAATTAAATGAATGAGTCAAAGGGATAGCCCAATCTATTTTTCCCTTGTGTTAATTAATCAATTTAACCAATGTTTAGTAAGCAGTTAGCATACAAAAGGTATTATGTTATGAATAGTAGGAATGCCAAGATAAATAAAACAGGTTCTTTTTTCTCAAACAGTCACTCTTCCATGATGGAAAATAGATTCATACACAGTTAACAAGGCCTAATTATTAAACCTAAAATAGAGATATAAAGTATTATGAGAGTTGTCATATACTGTAGAATCTTGTGTGATTTAACTCATCTCTACATACAGTCGCATATTATAGATAAGAACCATAATCATAAAATTATCTGCTCAGGGCATCTGCCATAACATCATAAAGCTGTTAAGCAATGTTAGGATTTGATTATCAGAATTTAATATTTTAGAAATATTCCCTGTATCCGAAACCAATGTACTCATTATTAACCACATTTTTCATGGATACTTTAGCAAAGGTGAGTGATTTACTCTTAACAGAAATTCTCAATTCATTATTTCTGGAGTATAACATGAATGGTGAAGACTAAATATTTAATTTAAAAATTGGGTTAAAGAAACGGCCAAAAATATATGTCAATTCAGCCTGAATATTTGCTCTCAGCATTAACATCAACCCCCAGAATCCACAGTCTATGTAAAAGAAATGAGGACACAGTGAGTGAGTAAGTGGCATTGGTTTTAATGGAAGAATACTGTGGAGTGTGCTCAGCTTACCCCCCTACTGATTTCTTGATGTGATTTCAAGGTAGAAAGGCATATAGAGGTAAAGAAGACATGACAAGGTATTTGGTATGTAATTTCTTGAAACCTTCCGCTAACTCATTCCAGTGACTTTTTTTATTCAAATAATTTCTCTTTTTTTCTGCTACCCTTCTGTCAAATCTCAGATTAAAATTAAAGCAGAGTTAAGAAAGAGTGATATCCTTTGTATGTTCAGTGTTTCAAAAGTTTCTGAGGTCACACAAAGATCTATATATTTCCACATAGTTAAGTGCCTTGGGGAAAGCCCCTCCCAATTTTCTGTGATTTTTAACTATATGCAGGCAAATGAGATGCCAATTAGTGAAGCGTAGGAGCAGTGAGGCTGTAAATTAGAAGTTGAAGAAACAGACTAAAGGACACCACAAAGATGCCAAATAAATTTGAGGGAAAATAGAAATAACATTTAATTAAAAGCACACAATGTGATTATTGGTGTGTTTTTAAACCACATATTCAATAGGTCTGTGATATAATTTTTAAGTATCCAATTACCAGAGAAAACCTAGGGAGTCAGAAAACAGGCAGAGACAAGCTATTCCATAATAACAATGCATGATTAAAAACTATGTAAGAAATCATGGCATGCTGCTACTGGCCTCCATGTATAGGGCGGTAGATGGAATAAACAGATCCTGCATCCCTACCTAACTCTACTACTAGAATCGATGCTATTTCAGGGATCATCGGTTCTTCCCCACTGTCCTGGGAAAGCCTTGAACAGACATCATTTATCTGTTGACATTGGGAAGTGTGTAACATATGTTGGCTGAATTAATTAATATATTGTGCCTTGCAATATAGCTACTGTGCCCACAGTCTAAAAAGTTAATCAAAGATATGCTTCTACCAGGCCTTTAGAAGATCCACCACACCACTGCCAGACACAGTGAATGAAGTAGCAATTTCTATTCACCCAGTTCAGAGGCTCCTCTCTTCATAGAATGTCTGGAAATTCAGACTAGGTTTTTCTCACTTGCAAAGTATTTTTTTTTTAATCTAAGACCTTTTTTTACAGGGTGCTGCATACTTTTCCTAGCACCAAGAAATCTGCATGCTTAAACAGTGACATCAAAACAAACCTAAAGACTCACAATAGAGTCTAAAATAGAAAAACAAATGACGTGAATTATTATAGAATATACAAAACTTGCCCCATCTACATGTTTGTGATAATGAGAGCAGACAAGGAAGGGAGTTATTTAAAAGTAAAAGATTTTAATCTATTTTATAAGAATGATAAATGGAGTATACAACTTTTAAAAATTGTGACTCACTATTTTGTACATTTAAACGTATATAATATTATACATCAACTATACCTCAATTAAAAAAAGAAAAAAGAAAAGTAAAATATATGTTATTTTTTAATATATTAAATATTAGCTATCAAATATATATAATTTTTTAAAATTATGTTAGAAAATAAATTATGAAATTGACAGAATTTAGTTTCATTAAAATGCTTCTACCCGAAAAGCATTCCCCCCAAGATTTTGGACACTCTCCTGTCTATCCATGAAAACAAAGACTGTGACCCTAGAGAATACAGTATTTAAGGAATAAAAGTAATAATAATAACAATAGCTAATATTTATATAGCTCCTACTATGTGCCAAGTACTGTTCTCAGTACATAACATAAATTAACACAGTTCATTCTCACAGCAGCCCTATGAAAAAGATGCTTTTTACTGTCTTTGCTTCACAGATGAAAAGTCAAACGCTCTGGCAGATCATAATTACAGGCATACCTCAGCAATATTGCAGATTCAGTTCCAGACCACCATAATAAAGCGAATATCAAAATAAAGCAAGTTACATAAATTTTTTGGTGTCCTAGCACACATAAAATTTATGTTTACACTATACTGTAGTCCATTAAGTGTGCAATAATAGCATTATGTCTAAAAAATGCACATACCTTAATTAAAAACTACTTCATTGCTAAAAAATTCTGATCATCATCTGAGCCTTTAGTGAGTTGTAATCATTTTGCTGGTGAAGAGTTTGAAATATTACAAAAACTACCAATATGTGACACAGAGTTACAAAGTGAGCAAATGCTGTTGGAAAAATGGTGCCTAGGCTTGCTTGATGCAGGGTTGCCATAAATCTTCAATTTGAAAAAAAATGCAATATCTGGGAATCTCAATAAAGTACAATGCAGTAAAACAAAGTATGCCTGTAGTAAGAATCAGAGCCAGAATGTGAACTCATATACTCAGGATCCATAGTCTGTGCTCTTAACCTAATAAGGAATAGGCAAGGACAAGTCCGTTCCCTTAGGAAACCACGTATCCAAAAGGAACCATATGACATATTACAACCTACTTCAACAGTTATATGCTTAGCATGGGACAAAAAAATGAACACACCAAAGAGGCAAATCTCCCCATGACTGACTTCAGTCACCCTGGCATAAACCACTCTACTCTCAAGCTTCGTCACCTAATCTCACAGTGTCAGGCTGTATTAGCTTCTTATTGCAGCTGTAATAACGTACCACAAATTTACTGGCTTAAAACAATGCAAATTTATTATCTCATAGTTCTGGAGGTCAGAAATCTCACCGGGCTAAAATCAGGGTGTTAGTGGGAGGCCAAGGGAACAATCTGTTTCCTTGCCTTTTCTAGTTCCTAAAAGCCACCCACATTCCTTGACTGTGGCTGCATTCCTCCATCTTCAAACCACCAACACTGGGCTGAATCCTTTTCATGCTGCTATTTCTCTCATTTCTCAGGCCCCTGGTGATTACATTGGGCCCATACATACAAACAAGGATAATCACAAGGTCATCTGAATAGCAGCCTTACTTCTCCCTTGCCATGCAACATAACATTCACAGGGTGAAGGCATTAGGATGTGGGGAGCCACTATTCTGCCTACCACCTGGACATATGAAGATGTGTTCATGAACATGAGAATGAAGGCAGAATATAACCATACAGTTGGTCTAGGAACTGTTCTTGACAAACAGGTGATACAACTTCGTAAATTTATCACAATACTCTTATAATATAAAGTATGTAGCAATCCAAATGCAAAAAGGAAATTCGGCCAATTAAATATAGTTTCTGAAAAGAGCATAGACTAGTTATGAAGAACATCCGACTTCAAATTCTGTCTGTTACTAGTTATACAGTCTTGAACAAGACACTGACAGTGCTGAGGGTCAGTTGTCTCATCTGCACAGTGGGGATAATAATCCCTGACCTCCTTTACACCAGGATTGTTTTGAGGGTCAAGTTAGATTAAATCTTTGTGAGTAATAAAGAGTATGTATCAATACAAATAAAATATGAATATGAGAACTCCCAACGTAAGCATTTTTGTTCAAAATATAGTTATTTTTTAAAGGGTGCAAATGACAAAGATAATAATAAAAGTATATACCTAAAGCCTCCACCTTTATTTTAAAACCTGCATTCATATTAGTAATAATAACATAATATAATTATTATTATTGAAATTTATCATTTACTACTTTTATAATATCCTTTCAGTGAAGGAAGTCTGTATATTTAACTCTATTCTATATACAGAGAAACTGAAGCTTAATCTCTTGACCAAGATCACACAGAATATAGACTCATAGAAGGACTAAAAGCTAAAAGTGCCAACTTTGAAATCCGTTCTATTTTGAAAATGGATTTAAACACCAGCCAAGCTAACATTCCCGTTCACATTAAGATCCACCAGTTCTACAGCGGCATGACTTAGAATGACTCAGACAGAAGAAAACGTTATTATACACTGAGGGTACTCACAAAGCAGCTCTATTGGCACAGAGTCCTAGAGTCCTTTGGTTTCCAAGATTCCTGTGTCTAAGGTTTCACAGGAAAGCATCACATCTTAAGAGTGACTCCTAAAAGAATGAAAGAATAATCACCTAAATATCGAGATGCATGATAAAAAGAAAAATGAAAAAGGTATCCAACTCCATCTCTGAAAGAGTTGATAGCATGTAGCTTTCTATTGCACTGGCTGAAATTGCTGTTTGCCTTTTCTAAATCTCCAAGGTTTTATTTCAAGGCCCTCTTTAGATATGGACAGACTGTTTAGTTAAATTACTTCATATCACCACTAACCCGTCATAACTATGGTGACTGCCTTTATTTGTGCCTGACTTTATATTTTCTGTCCTAAGTCGTATTTCCCAAAGTGTAGAGGAATTCCTGTGGAAACATCAAAGAGATTCACTTCAGCCCAAAGTATCTGGGACTTCAAAACAAACAATAACTTGTCTTTAACTTTTGCGAGGCTTTTCTTTCCACTTTTGGTAGGATGATAAATAAATGTGTATGTATGTGTATGTTTATAAATCAATAACTTGAAATTTTTACATAAATACATTAAGGCTATTTACATTAAATGTATTAATTTGAAAACTGAAGAGAATTTCAGTAAGATTATTAAGCTCTAACAATAAATCAGAAAAATTTGAAAACGATCGTCAAAATTTGACCATCAATTCTTTGTATGTTCTTTGATTATATAGACCTTAAGACAAGTTTTTGACTTCTCTGTCCAATCCCCTTATCTGGAAAAAAAAGGGGATGTAGTAGTATTTAACTCAGAATCATGACTACTAAATTAAGTCAGTTAATATTTTGTAAAATACTAGCATAGTGTTTGGCAACAAAATAAGAAGAAGAAAAAGAAGAATGTAATAAGAACTATTATTATTATCAGTAGTTGGTACTTGAAACAATGAAAAATATTAGTTTATATAGATGAATAAATATTAGATCCTTGCTTATTCCTGACTTGAAAAATATGAGATTTATTTACGTACATAAGTCCTATTTGTCTTATTATTAACCAATATAATTAATCAACTTTTAGATATGATCCAGAGAAATCAGATTGTTCTACAGAGTACGGTGTAGTGCAAAGATTATTGAAATATATTTCACAGGAGCAAAGACTAAGAGGAGAGAAGAGAGATAATACAATGTCACTGAGATAGCACTTGCAATGTTACCTGGTTTGACCGGAGAACTTTGTCATTGTAGTCTAAAACGGAAGGAATTTCAGACTGGCAGTCAATCTGCTTACTGTGGAAGTTCCAAGACTATAAAAAGCAGACTATGCACATATAACTTCTCATTTAGTAATATCTCACGAAAATTTGTCAGTTCTATAATATATGTGAAGAACTTCCTTGTAGTGACAATTAAATTTATTTGAATTTAGAATATTAAAATATATTTTACAAAATTACTGGTATTATTACACCACAATAAGTAAAATTTATATAATATAGTTAACATGTTTAAGGACATAACATCTTACTACACTTAATTTTTTGCTTCAGTGACTACCACTGAAATACATAATTTTGAATTCATTTCATGTGTAGATACGATGATTTATTGGTATTATTTGAGTAATTCACTTTTGTCTGCATAATTACGTTATTTACCCCATGCCCCAAAAGCAATGTCTCTCATATTTTGATTCTCGTGTGAGATAAAATAATGTTACTAACATTTGAGAATAATGAGATAAGGAAGTTTTCTTTCTTTCCTTTGTATCTTAACTGTAAACTTATTTTAACAGTTTGAGTTTAGAAATTCCCTGATTTGACTCTAGAACATCAGAGTACCAGAATTATCTTAATTTACAGTATTTTGTTGTGAAAAATAGGGCAGCAAAAGTTTTCTCATTTGCTTTATTGTGTACTTTTTTTTTAAAAACAGAAACAGGCCACAGACCTTAAAAGGTACGTGCTTGTGAGCTGATATGTGTAAAAAAAAAAATAAAGGACTAATTTGACAGTCATGTGATCATATCCATTAAATAAACATTTTTTTTAAAGAGATGTAGTTAAAATGAAATAAAATGCTTTCTATTTGTTTTGGCATGCCTTTTGACCTTCTGAGTAAACTTCACCTTGTACAAAAGTTAGTATATGTGACCTTCTGAAACATGAATGGCTAAATCACAGAGAAGTTTGACAAAGGCTTTTACTTATTGAAAAAAACAATTTGTGTTATAGGTCCCTTACTATAAACCAATACCCAAAACTTAGCACACTTCTAGAAAAGTCCAGAAGTTAAAAGAAATTCCTTGATCCATTATAGTGAAAATCAATACAAACAAGAAAAGGAAGTTAAAAAAAAACCCAGGAATCTCTCAGCCCCTGGAAGGTTATATTAATTTCCAATCTCTTATCCAATTATCAGGTAGAAAAAATATAATTTTTTAATTCTGTAATTTCAGAGGCCATTATTTAGGTGATTTAAGTGGCCATACTTTTTAGAAAGAACCAGCAGCTAATTCAGTATTTTAATACTTCATGGTGTCATGAAGTTCTATGTCTGGTGTACAGTCATCTCATAATTAATTAACTTAGGAATTTTTGTTGCAACTAAAATACATTACCCAGGGTTCATGATCTTATTTTTATAAAGGTTCTTATTAAAGGGGCTAAGAAGTGTGATGTAGAGGAGGAAAATATTCATGTTTACACATGGTTGGTTACTACCGAGTGATAAAAATTAAAAATTACATTAGTTAAAATAGGTAAATTTATTGATATATTTGACAAAATGGACAAAAACCCCTCCAAAAATAAGAAGCTATTTTAGAAAACATAGTAGAGCTAAAAAGAATATTTAGTACTAGGCAAATCCACATTCAAATTTTCAGAAGAAACAGCAGATAAACCTACTCTTCTAGGAGAGAGTTTTCCCCTTTAACTTAATAGCATCATCCAATCATATTTGGAAATATTCAGTGTTCATTAGGGCTTAAGAAAAAGTTCCTTGAATGAATTATTCACGAATACTTCAATCATAATTCCAAACTTTATGATAGTAGTTAGCATTAGCAATAAAGCAAAAAATAACTGAGAACCCACCTACTATTTTCTTTTAATTCTCTTTCTCATTTCCTTTCCTCACAAGCACAGAAAGCATGTTTGTTTTGGAAGCAAATAGCAAACAGTACAAAAGGAGAACTTAAAGTGAGTGATTAATGATCAAAGCAAAAATGTAGAATCACATCAGCTGACAAGGGGCTGACTGACCCAAGGTTGTAGAATGTGAAGGCATTAGGACAAAGCTAAAGAATAAGTCCTTCTTATTCGAAGGGTGATCTTTGAAAGTCACAGGAGGCAGATTCTCCAAAGCCTTGTAATATACAACTACAGAAACACTATCTACAGCTACTGTAAGTAGCCATTTTCATGGCCGACTTCAAGAAATTCTATTGCACGCCTTAATAAGTAGTATAACCTAAAATCTGTAAACAAGTACAACGAAATTACATAATTCAAGGAAATGACTTAAACCATCTTAGAATAAACATAAAGTGAGAAGACAGAAGAACAGAAATTTGTGATTGCAGAACTTTAGCAAAAATATTGATGCACAATTCTTGCTCACGTATCTTTGTTATGGAGATGTAAATCACCAGCCTGATAATTGAGAAGTCAAAAATGAAAGAAAGTTGATCAGTATTGAAAACAAATATAATTTCTTTAAGTATTGTATTGAAAATCAACCATGAAGAGGGTTGAAGCCAAACCACATTGCAAAAGCATGTCTTAATCAGTTTGTCTTGTTGGTGTCACCATACTTTTATGATGCATGTGGAGGTGGCTATGAGGGGGCTGGCATGGGGAAATGTGAAGAAAGCAAAATGTATAGGAGCTCCTATTAGCTGCTGTCTTCCCTACAGCCAAATTTACATTTATCTTTTCTTCTGTGAAACAAAGTGTACACCAGACCCTTTAGCAATATTATTTTTACATATGATTAGGGTGGACACATATGATGTGGTGTCCTGAACAAGGTGCTTCCAAGACCTCCAGCTAGATGGAGTGTAAGTGACCAAGGGCACAATCTGCTGAGCTCTGAAACCCTTTGCTGGATTTGCACAGAATCCACACTTCCCACAGGCTGCTCCCAGCCTGCACCTGAGCACAGCAGGGCCATGAAAGCAGATGGTTCCTGGGATATACATGACTCCTCTGATGACTGATTTTGCCTGGGGGGCCTTCCACATAGCATTGCCTGATATATGTTGGGTGTTCAATACTTATCTTTGGGGAAAATAAACCGTTGTTATTATTGAGTTGTCAAAGCCCAGATGGCTGCATAAACATCAAAAATTAAACTCTGTGTGAAACTTTGCGTTAAGATGATTTTTCAGCTTCCTAATGCAATTCCAGGAACTTGAAGTACAGCAAATATGTTAGAAAACTACAGAGAGACAGAGTTTTGTTCCATGGAAATATAACCTCTGATAGCTAGAGGTGTCTAAAAGTTAAATGGGCAGCTGCAATCCTCTCAATTACTCTTTGATAATACTAGCGTTCCCATTTTATAGAACAGGGAACACTAGGCTTGGAGGAGCCAAGTTTTCAGGGTTACACAATTTTAGGGGCAGGAGCCAACATTCCAACCTCAATTTTGCTCACTCTTTCCACAACTACCACACAGTTAGAAGATATATCTTTCATAAAAAGACCCTGAGACAAAGTGAGAGAGTGGCACGGACATGTATACACTACCAAATGTAAAACAGATAGCTAGTGGGAAGCAGCCGCATAGCACAGGGAGATCGGCTCGGTGCTTTGTGACCACCTAGAGGGGTGGGATAGAGTGGGTGGGAGGGAGATGCAAGAGAGAGGAGATATGGGGATATATGTATATGTATAGCTGATTCACTTTGTTATGCAGGAGAAATTAGCACTCCATTGTAAAACAATTATACTCCAATAAAGATGTTAAAAAAAAAAAAAAGACCTTGAATGCTTGCATTGATGAGTGGATGCACTATGTGATGTGTAAAAACACTTCCAGTGCTAAAATCTGATGAATTTTTGGAGAAAATCCACTTGATGATGTTGTACCT